AACATAATGCAGTGGCTTAAGAGCTGTTGTATCCTTACATTTCTGTCTGTAGCCAAGGTTGCTCTCAGTATAAGTACATTTCAAGTACAGTCTGGCTGGGATGTGCATGTTATACACATGGTAGCAAATAGCAGGTGATGGGTGGGAATGAATTTGCTAAGCTTTCAGATATCTCTTATGCCCTTGAGGATTGCCCGTTAATAATATTAATATGTAGGTATTTCCCAGTGATGTGGGCAAGGCGCTTGTTAGAACTTTGAAGCTAAAGTCTTTTTTAACACAGAGACCTTTTTGAATTTTAATCCATTAGCAACTTGGCAAAATAAAGTAATTGTCCAACAGAGGAAGGAAAAAAAAAATCTATTAACGTTTGCTACAAATCCGAGTAGTACAGGCAGCACTTAATTAATGGAACAGATTTCTCACTATGTATTCAAGCTAACATAGTCATTGTTCAAGAGAGATTAGACCCTTAATGTAAGTAAGTTAAACTAGACCTCCATCTAAAAATATCCGTCATTTCAGCTATTAAAGGGCTGATGTCTTCTTCGGTGACAGATATATTTCCCTTCATTTCCTTGGTTTTGTAAAATGTAAAGTATGCATTGTGTGTAACGCGAGAAATCCACGGAGGTAGATGAAACCTAGATTGCGCCTCTCCGCCTGTCTCCCTCTGCTTGCTCCTTTGTGCAGCTCCATATCACAGAGCCTCTTCAGCCCATAGACCTCCTGGCACCAGAGTGAAAAAAAACAGCAAATGCCATTTGTCAGGGTACGATGCCAGCCACCTAATCTGTTTGCAGAATGAGGGCCGTGGGATCTGATTAAGTAATTTAGATACCTTGCGAATTTAATAATACCTGAGCTGCATTTGGCTGGCAGCCCATGATTTCACTTGTAGGAACTACCACATTCTTCCATTTCTCCTGCTAACTCCTCTCGCACATAATACCTTATTTGAATCCAAATAGGTGGGGAAGGCTGCAGGTGAGGTATGCTTTTGCTTCCCTCATTTTGGATTTTTTTGGATGGTTTGGAAAGAGAATTACTCTTTTCATTTTCCTGTTTCTTTTTTTTAAAAAACTTTTTCCCATCTTACGCAGTTGTTTTACAACTTATATGAATCTTCTTTTTTTCGTCGTGTTCACTTGAAACTAAAATTTTTTAATTGTGGTGCCTAAAAGTGGGCACCTACATATGTGGCCTGACTTTGACGGGGACTGAGGCCACACAGTCCCTCGTGACTTCAGTGGTAGTTGTGGAAGTGCACAACTTGCAACTGCTGCTGCACTGCACCTTGGAAGTCAACCCCTTCTATGTTGCCATCATTTAATATATTTATTGTCGTGGCCAGTTGGAGATATAGTATTAGACTTGGTACAAACCAAGCAGAAGAGTTAGTGGGCATAGATTTAGGAGTGTAACTGGTGAAAACTGTAGTCACTGTATGAAGTGTTTTCCCCTCCCCCAACCCCCATTACAAAACTTAGTTGTAAAAATGGGTTGTGGTTGTTTTTAATGAAAATGAGCCTTTCTGAGAGGATTGGAAGCTCATATCATTTTAGCAATAGCAGTATGTCGGCGGCATCAATACAGCACCAGTAATAAGGACAAGAAGGTAAAACTGACTAGAAACCAAAGTGAAACACCACAATGTCCTTGTCTAAACTGAGGGAAGTCCAAAAAGTAAATGCACTTCCTCGGGAAGTGGAGGAAGCCCTGTTGCAGAGGGACAGCTCTAGCTAGACTGATCACAACAGTAGAAAGGAGACAATAGGGTATAAATCCTGCAAAGGCAGGGAACTGGACAGGATGAGCTAATGGGTAGTTTTTCCATCCCTAATTATTATTGCTATTGTTTCCAGCAGCAGTGTAACTGGCCAGTGCCGTGACTGTGCAGAGGCAGTAGGGAAGGCAGAGCAGCATCAGTGGCAAAAAAAGGAGGCGATGTTTCCCCCAGCAGCTGTTCCTTCCTGCATGCTGCCACCAGTTCTCTACCCTCCCCACTGCTGGAGCTGGTGTTGGAGCAGGAAAGGTGCAGGAGAAAAGCAGGGACAGGAGAGTGAGGCACCCCCCTAGGTCTTTTCTGACAGCCCCCCTTAGATATGGGCTGTAACACCTGGAACTCCTATCCCACTTGCCCATCCATCCTTACTCTCCTGGTTTCCAGTAGCATTTACAATGTGCTTGGTGTTTTCCAAACAAAAATAAGGCACTTTCTATGAAACAATTAAATTCTGTCATTTTAATATTGTAAGGGGGTGGTTGAAATAGAAGCAGACAATTTTTAAATGAGTTGATGAGCACAGCACAATTAAAAAACCAACCAAACAAAAATCACCTCCATGCAGTAAAGGCATAAAACAACACTGCATGGTCAGGCCTTGTTATCTAGCTTGATTAATTGCACCTCACGCATGCAAGGATAATCATCATCAAACTTCTGAGCCACCAAGAAGAAACCAGCCCTTTCATTTTCTTGTGAAATAATTATTGTGTTTTATGTATTCCAGCATCCAGTGATAGAAGGTAGTTGGTTGGGGGGGCGGGGTGGGGATACACCCAAAATGTTTTACTTATTAAACATATTCATTTCAGGAGGCTTTGTAGCATACATGCAAGGTAATGTGGGCTGACATCTGACTGCCATAATTGAGAGCAGGTGTTTGTTTATTTTACATATATGAAATACCCCCCCACCTCCCTGCACACACACACATGCACACACAATCTTTGGAAAGAGCAGTGCCCACTTGACTTTCTTCTCTGTTTTCAAAATACAGAGCATTTTAGGACCCCCCCTTCATGGTGGGGAGTTGACAGCTTCCTGGTTTTGCTCCCCATTTACTTCCTCTTCTTCCTCCCTCCCCCTTTGCTGCATGCTGTCGTTGCCACATGGAACAATTTGCTATCTGACAGAGCAAGAAGAGAAGGTGGCCCTCGGTGCTGAGTCCCCACAATGCCCTCTAGATGTGTCTGTAATGGAGCAAATCACCAGTGCTTGTAGACCTCCTGTCTCCAGTAAATCATAAGCATCTCAATCTTTTTGTCAGGCCATGATATGAGAATCCGCATCTGAGTTTCAGTATGAGGGGAGAGAAGCTGATTAAGTGTTTGAGATAAGGTTATGTGACACCACAGGTTAAAAATACCTGAACTGAAATTGGCCAAATGCCTGAGAACCACGTTTCGGAGTATTCAGCTAGGTGGCACCGAATATGCTTGTAAGGGATCCTCTCTCATTCGCTGTAAAAAAAGAAAAGCAAAAGCTGTAAGAGTGGTCAGGAAGCAGCAGGATCTCCCTTGTTTTACAGTGTTTATTTGGATTTGGCTAACTCGCGTCTCATCTGAAATGTTACCAATGTGACATGGTAAAATATAATAACTGTAAATAAATATAAAAAATATAAAAATATAAAAATTGTAAATAAATCTCTGAGAAAGCTTAGGAAGAAAAGGTCGGGTATTCATATGTCCAGAGCCAGCCTTAGGGGAAATGGCGCCTTGAGCAAACCTGTATTTTGCTCCACTGTCACCCCCCAAGTCAGTGACGTTTTCATTCTTGCTGATTCCTGTGTAAGGGTTGGTCACCCCCTTCCCCACTTTCCATTACCCTGGGGCTAAGCCTGGCAGCAGTGGCACTGGGCACCCCCAGGGCAAGGGATGGGACAGAGTGAGCTTCACGCAGCTCCACCGCAGCCCCCAGTACCCAGCTGGCCCTGGGCTGTGCTCTTAATATCCCTGCGGACCCGCCCAGCGCTGCAGCAACCAGCAGCATGGGCACCCCTTAGCGAGCATGGCAGACAGCCCAGTCTCAGCCCTGGGCAGCAGCACTGCCCTTCTCAGTGTGGGAACCTGCTCTGGACAGGAAATTGCCTCCCTCTGGGCCCTGCAGAGGTAGGGACTGCCTGGGGCAGCCTTGTTTTGGGCATGGGAGGGGCAAGGCAACACCCTGGTCATGTGCAGGGTGGTGGTCAGTCAGGCCCAGCCAGATTGCCCCCCACTGTGTGGGCCTGGCAGGGCCAGGCAGTGCCAGGGTGACAGCTGCAGCCCCCCGTGGAAGCGTTCACCTCTCTGAGCCCACTGGTCTCAGCAGTTCTCCCCTATTCTGGCCTCTGCCTGCACTGCCGGCCATCCAGCCTCCTCTCCCAAGACACTCTCCATGGGCCGGCCACACTGCAGGGGCCATGCCCGCCCTGTGAGGGACCACGTGTGGGCTCCCTCCCACCCTGGCGAATGTCTGCCCAGGTTCACAGAGCTGGCCTTAGGGAAAATGGCACTCTGGGCAGTTGCCCACATCATCCACCCCTAGGGCCGGCTCTGGGTAAACCATTTCAGTCCTTCCCCAGTGTTGTACTTCCAGAGTCAGGTTCTCCCCATTTTTTTCAGTCTGGACCCCCTTAATGTTAAAAGACAATTGTAACCCATTTTGGCCAGAAGCAGCACTTTTGTAGCTCTGAGCATATTGAACAGCACACTTTTGGCCAGGCTTAAGTGATGCACCAAAAATGTTCAAGATGCTCTGGTCATTATGCATGTGTGTGCTTCCTCTGCCCCCCGCCTCAGAATATAACCATTGGTTAATTTTTGGTTTGTGGCTTACATGTGTGTAGTTTATCTGTACAAACTTGCTGGCCTCAACTCCTCTCAAGGAGAAAAGCAGCGGCTGGAAAGGATCTACACGGGGCAAAGAGGAAGGCCTGCAGATCAGGCCTATCTCAGACAATCTGGCGTGTTTTGATGTATTGGGGCCCGCAGTAACCAAGAACAAGGGTGAAGAGGTTGATACTGGGTTGTTCGTGTTACCATTCTGAACGGCATGTTCGAACAATTTTAGGTTTCGTTGTTGCCAGGGAACTCTAAATGGAGGCAGTAGAAGCCACCATCTGGCTTGCTTGAGATGCAGGGGTGGTCTCACTTCTTCATTGTTTTTAGTTGTAATGTTGACATCCTGACTGAGAAGTTTGTTTTTTTGTCATGCATGTTCTTGTTCCTTTTAGATGGGCTCAAGCCAGACACAAAGGCACTTCTGACTGTTGCCTCTAAGAAGAAATCCAGAGCAGGGAAGGGGGATGCAGCCAAAGAGGATGACAGCACCAAAACTGAGTCAGCCCAGCCTGTTGCCATCAGCCTTCTCTTTAAAAGATATGTCTTTGACACGCAGAAGAAAATGATTCAGTCTTGAGAAGGCAGAAGAGGCCCTCTGGGTGATGTCTGAAGTACCCTGAAAAGGCTAGACTCCAAAATGAGCTTGGCTGGAAAATATTTGTTGTCTGAACACACATTAAACTCTAATAAAAGGTTTTGATCTTAGAAACATTGTAGATGGATTCCTTCCTTATGAATTAAGGCTAGAAGCTGTTCCTTTCCCTACAGCTTAGCTTGGTCCCCAGAATCCATTTGTTCAGATACTGCTCTTTGAATCTGTCTGTTGTGCTTCATGGCCCCTTGGACAATGTCAGCTGCTAATTCTATGCTTACTGTTTGTAACCAAAAGAAATAGTTTTTTTTATGGAGCATTTGAAGTCTCTTTTATTTTAAACAGTCCCCAACAATATAGAAATCTAAACCTGATGTCATTTGGGGAATTTTATTTGTAAATGAAATCACCAGTCTAGTTTCACTGCCCCAAGTTGAATTGGAGGCAAAAAAATATATACTGTGAATGGGTGAAAACAAAAAATAGATGTTTCCAATTCTTTCAGATCTAAGTATACAAGGGGCTGTTTGTAAGACAGGTATGGAATTGTTTTATATGTATTATTTGTACCTTGGCTGTCTGCCATGTTATGACATCCATAAAGCCACAAATAATTTGATGGTCTATAGTGTTATGTTTGCTATCCTGGAGGTTCAAGACTGCTTTTCTACAATATTTCACACAGCTTTTCTTGAGTCTGCTGGCTATTTCTTTGAATCTGGAGGGAATCGGGAGAGTAAGCCATTCTGAGCCACTACTGAGAACAGTTTTCATTTTTTGTAAGCAATATGGCTGTTTTGTGAAAACCAAAAAAAAAAGTTATCTCTGGAAATAGTCAGTGGCTTTAGTTCATTAAAGTAATGATAGTAGCTTGTGATATAAGGCCTTGTAAACTGAATATCTCCAAGATGCTTTAGAAACCATTAGTTGTTGAAAGGGGGTCTCAAGGGTACTTTAGTATTTCTCTTGATTTAATGTCCTAACCTCATAAAAGCTTGGAGAATTATGGGTCTCCAGTGGTCCCTGTTTGTTTCTTGTAGAGCATAAGCCACCGTAACATTGATAACAAACAATGATTATACACATACAGAAGCTGCTGTTTTTAGCAGAGACGAACTTGGGATTTGCCATGCAAAAAGCATTAGTCCCTGCTACTTGAGCAAAAGGAGAAACTCGTTTGCTGTCGGCAAGTGTTAGGCTGTTGTAATTTCTGGGAGCAGCCATGAGAGTAAGATTACCACCTGCACCAAGCCAGGGCATTACTTGAGGTGACTCTAGGTCATTATCTTCCCTGCTTATGAAATCATTATTAAGTAGTAATTCAGTGATGGAAGTAATGGTGGCCAGTTAACTTGTGCCCATCCAGCTGGCTTAGATGGCAGAGCAAAATATTGTACTATCCTTCTTGTGTATTTTATTTTTAATTTCCAGATGACAGAAACAGACTAAAGGGCAAAACACGAACTGGCCCCAAGGCAGGGTAAGGTTGAGTGCCTACACTAGCTTGACAGTGCCACTTTAAATGAGCACAAAAATAGTGCTTTGTGGACTAATCCCAAACGGTTTCTGCTGAGTGAGTGAGTCCCAGGCAAAGCTTTAGCACATCCCTTAAGATTATGGGGTGTGCTTTCAGTTTGATCCACGAGGAATTAGGCAGGCAACTTCAGCTAGGGCTTAATGTGACTTGCACTGCCAGCCCTGCTGGAAAATGTATTCCTCTGCAAGGGAAAAATGCGTCTCCCTCCCCCCACAACTCTGCAGACTCTCTCCTGCCCTCCCATGTTTCCAAGAATATTTATTACATTCTCTATTTTCTATGTCTTAATCAAATCCCATTTTGCACCCTTTACTTCAGACACTAGAACTTTGCTCAGTGGTTAGATGCTACAACTATGGGTGCTATAGAAAACTGTTATCTTGATGACATAGAGGGAAACTCCTTTATATTGCATCAGCTTAGTCTGAGAATTATTTTATAAATACCTCTTTCAGAGGAAATTCAGAAAGGATGAGTTGATCTCTTGCAATTATTTAAGAACCTGCAGCAGTGTTTATCTGTGTTAATGCTGGTGCTGTTCCCACATTTTAAACGGGAGAATTTAATACTGCCAACCTGACATTCACCTTGAGTTACAGTGGGGAACGATGGTCTCTGCGACTTGCCATAAACTCTGCTGTGTGATATTGCTGGCTGCTGTGTTCCAGACCAAAGTTGGCAGCATTTCACTGATGGTTTAGTGATTGTTGTCTGGATGGTTTGTAAGACTATTTCTGTGTGGAAGGCACTATATGAATGCAAGGTATTGTATGCTGTTATGCAATATTATCTATTTAATATTTTATCAGTTTTCCTTGTTTTTTCAACCTGTTCTCTCCCGTTACTCGAGGCAGCCTCTCTGAGCCAATTGCTTGTTATGGAATTTGATCCGTCTGACACCATGCGGGTTAGCAATACTCACTGAGCCAGTACAGCCCTCTGTCTGCCTGAACAGCTGCCTAATGCTTTATAATTCTGTACAGAAACCCCTGCTGAAAAGTACACTATCCCTTTGCTTTAGTCACCTCACAGAGTGTGATATTTTATAGGACAGAGGGCTGGTGGTATCTGCTAAGAACCATTTGGGGGTTTCCCCCTCCCTTTTTAATTCCAAAAGGAAGACTTAAAATGTGCCCGAGAACTTTGATTACAATGTGCTATTACTGCAGATCTCTGGCTGCTGTCCTGAGGCTGTTGGATACACATTCAAAAAAAGGGTGAAATGGTGGAACAAAATGATTATGGGAAAATCAAAGCTTTTAAAGACATTTGTAGGATGAACAGATGTTCAAACATTCTTTTATTTGGTTTCCAGACAGACACAGAGACTTTCCTTTCATCCTGGTAATCAGTGCATTATGGTGTAATTTGTAAAAATGACATTAAAAAAATATTAACAGGGTCATATTGTGATCTACTGACTCTGTCTCATTAAGCCATGAAGCTAAAAACTGGCAACTGGGAAAAGGGGTTAAATATTGAAGACTGTGCTGTAGTCACACACATCATCGATGCATTAACATGAATGCAAACATCAGAATTGTTTAGAAATGACTAAGGTTTCAAAATCATCTGTCAAAAGCTAGGAAATGTTAAGTTCGTGCTGATGATATTTAATGCTTAATTCACCCAGGTTGAGCTGTGGGAGATAAGAGGCTGAATAAAACTCTGTTCAGGTGAGAACTGCTCAATGTTTTATAAATGCGTTTATTTTACCTTTTCTTTTTTATTTATGGATTTTATTTTCATGTTCTGTTGCATCCTGCTTCAGTCTGTGGTCCCGCTACAGCACCTCAGCTGACAAGGTGAAAGAACTGCAGGACCTGGTTGCAATGATTAAGTAGATGGCATCTTTCACTGTTCCTGCCTCAGGGTGGGGTGCATGGTGATGCTGAAGGTCCTGATTTCTGTGCGAGGTAAAACCCAAGTCCTGCAAAACTGTTGGCATGAAAAATCACTTGGTGTCCCTCAGTTGCATAAAGGTATTAACTGGCAAAATGCCAACCTGGAGAATCATGTTCTGCTTACCTAAATTCCTGGTAAAGTCTTGCTTGGCTACAGTTTTCTTCTCTAACTGCTGCATCTGTCTGATCTAGGTAAATGACTGTAAAAAAGAATGAGCCACCAACACCGTTGCGGTTCTTGGAGCCTTTATTTGTTTACTAGCACTAAGCATGTTATATGCACATTAGTATTATGTCATTGAGCAGCCAGAGGGTGGTAAAATAATAATGAAAGCCTAGCACTGTTGGAGTATGTGATGACTCTGTCTTGTCCTACAGCAGCTGTGTCCTACTGCAGGGTTGGCTTTATCTTACTGAATTCACCATGTTTACATTTTGTGATGCATTCTGGGATCTTATAGTGCCAAGGATGAAGATAATAGAGAAACTGGTCATTATTAGTAGTATTTTAAGGTATTTGTTTTTCTCTTTTTTTGGTTTAATATCAGCAGTGAACCAAATCACTTTTATTTATGCACAATTTAAATGAATTTATGATTTCATGTCATTTAACAGTGCATGTAATTAGATTCAACATTTTGCAATAAATTCTGAGCTGTTGAATGTAGGAAAGGGAAAAGTAGCTCCATGCTGTGTGGAGCTACTTAGGTGATTGACATCCTTAAAAAATAGACAAGGATACTGCTGTGAAGGAGACTTGAGGACACATGTCTCATTTCTGAGGGCCTGATAAACCAAAATTCCTATCAGGTACATGCTCGGGTTTTTTGAATTCTGGGAGATGGTTCAAGGCCCAGACCGGGTTCTGTTGATGCTTTAGCAGTGGTTGCTTGTTGAGGAACCTGTCTATACCTCTGCTCATACCAGTACCGTGGTGCTGCAGCACTCAGAACCATCATCCACAGTTCCTACCACTCTAACGTGATCTGGTGAAGACTTACTGGCTCTGACCTACTCCAGGCCAAAAAAGGATTGCACTAGCATGTGACTAAATGGTAACAAGAGCTGGATTCCCCACTGTTCTCTTACTGAAAGAAGCTCTAGATCTGGCCCAATTATGACTTCAGTAGAAGATGTTTTGGAGCTCCCCAGAACTCCAGTAGGATCAGTTCAACTAATGGATCAAAGACTCCTTTTCTTCTGCCTCTGACAAAGCAGGGAGGCATTACCTATCTGCTCACTGTGCTTCTGTCCATATAAGCCAGGTTAGTCTGACTGGGAGTCTAAGGGACATTCATGTACATGAAGACATGGGCAGCCCAAGACAAATGTTCTTCCTAGTTAGTTCCTTCTTGGTTTGCAGCCCCATATCAATATACCATGCAGCCATGATCAGTCCTGAGTTACCTGGGCCATACAACCCAAGAAGAAATCTTCCTGCCCTGTCTTCATATTTAGGTTTTTTCTTGCAGAAATATCAAGAGGGTCAACTGATGGAATATACTTTATAACAGTAGGAGTAAGATTTTCAGAAGGAGTGTCTGTAAGAAACAGAGGATCGTTTTGTCCCAAGTACAGTATCCTCCACTTCACCCTAAGAAGAACTGTCATCTCAATGCTGCTTCAGCCCAACCGGATGATTACCATGGCAGGTGATTGCTATCCTTGCAATCCCAGCTGAGAGAACATGGTAAACGTCATGCAAACTTTTAGATATTTTTGTTATTCTAATCTTGGAAGATTGCTGCTTTCATACTCCAGCTTCTGTGGTATCCACATATAATAATAATAATAAAAAAGAAGCAGCAACAGAGGAGCCATGTTGACTTTCAAACAAGCCGATAAGGAAGAAGCAGAGGTTCCAGGAAAATAAAATCTCTTATCCCTGCTCTCCTACAAACTGAACACCAACCTCATTTAGCAAGTTTTACCTGGTTGCTAGGTAGCTAGAATTGCTGAATTTGTCCTTTCCTGGGTGTCTTTGCTTTTGGGAAGCCTGGATCAAGACAAGGGTCAGGAGGGCCTAGAGATTGTAAACAAAGGATATTCTTTCCAGTTCCTGTGCCTTCTTAATTCCCCTTCCCCATTCCTGTCATAAGATTGGAAGAGATATCCATGGAGTTCCAGAGCAGGAAGGTTTTATTTTCATTAATCCTGTTCCCAAAGGAGGCTTCTGACATCTTAACAAATTAATTTATTGTTGCCTCAGGATGGTGATTTTTAGCTTTTGCAGCCTCCACATTAGATCCCCAAGCGCATCACTCTCAAATTATAAGATTTGTATTTCCAAGTAGCATTTAATCCAGGTTCCTGATGTCAAAGCAAATGCAGAGCATTTCCTTCTGTCTCTTCACAACTGCAAGGGTATTCACTAAGTGCCTGGCAGTCATGGCAGCTCACCTAAAGAGATAAAGATATACATACATACCTGTCCCTCAGTGATTGACTGACTGATTTGGGGACTGCCACTTCTAACAGATCCTATTAACTCCTCATCTCTTTTGTGTTCTGGGTCTCAGAGTTAGCCAGGGAGAATCTGTTGTCTCACCTCAAGCCTAGAATTTATAGAAACAGCATTGGAAACCACAGCAAGTGCTTACCTAAGATCAAAGAAGTTCTATGCTGAATCTCAGAACTCCGCTCTAGGATCACCCCAGATCTTCTTTTATAGCCAGCCAATGACTCCTGAGACGCATGGCCTCATGGCTTTACTGGCAGCTGTATATAGGCAACTGGCCACAGTGAGAGTGGTTATCACACCGGTTCTCAATCTTTTTAGACTTGATACTCCTCAGAATATGCCAGCTCTTATTTTTCACTCTTTTTTTTTTTTTTGACCACAGAAAAATAACAGAGCAATTCTCTTGTTGCAAAGGACTCTGAAAGATAACAGCAGGTCAGATTGTTTTTAACACTGGGATTCCTATTAAAAATGTCTTGGTTTATCTTGGAATTCATGTTTGCACAGCTAACAACAGTGCCAACCTTGTGTGCACCCCGTGGCACACTTGAAAGGCTCTCAGGGCACCCTGGTTGAGAATCACTGGGCTATCACATCCCATGGCAGCTTCTTTTAGAGGGAATGTAACAAACTGAAAGGACTGTCTAACTATATTTCTAGTATTGTAACAATAAGTTGTTGACTTGACAAGCAGTGCTGCCTTGAGGTCTGCATTTTGTTTAGCACTAAAGGTAGGCATAGCACCTCAGAGCAAGTTATAAGCACTAGTCTCTCAAAAGCCTATGGGAATCGAGTTGCTCGGTAATTCACAGAAGTGGGATGCAAATTAATGAAGGGAAAGTGAGGAACGGTAAGCACAAGGGCTGCCTGCAAAAGGAAGGAGGAAAGAATGGTAGAGCACGAGAAGCATCTTGTTGCCTTGTCCCATGTGCATCTTGTTGGCTCCCTAGAAAATATAGTTTTTGTTTGAATTCAGATTTGTTTAATCTGTTGATAAATGTACCAGGGAGAAACACAAGGCAAGGAAAAGCCAACATCACATTAGAAGATGCAAGAGGCAGAGGTTAGTGTTGGAAGGCTGAGCAAAATAATTAAGTATTAAGGATGGATTTGAAGGGTGTTTATTTTAGAGAGCTCCAGTTTGTTTCATGTGTTTGTTATTAAGTTCAAGAGAAATATTCTGTTAACAAATGTTTGCATTCTTCAAAGACATTTTTCTAAGTGGTTTTGAACTGCTGTTTCAATTTTGCATCTTTTTCCTTATCTAAAATATTGAAGTCAAGGAGCTCTGAGAAGGGAAACAGACATTGCTTGAAAGGGGACATCCAAGGTGTTGGGTACCTCAAGGAGTTGTTCCACAAAGCTTTATAAACGGAGGAGATCTTACATTCCTGACCATCTTGCTCAACAAGTGATTTATTTGGTCTTTGGTCTAGTACCACCTCACAAAACTATCCCACTGTTTGGCACAGCACAATATGACTGGCACTCTGTGGGAGATGTCACGAGCTAGTAGGCTTGCTGGACTGGGACGAGGTGCATTAGCAGGGATGAGGGAAGAAGACAGAACCGAACTAGCAGATGAGCACGTCTGTTGGGCTTGAGAGGCATTTGGGGCACAAAACTGAAATAGCAGAGGTTGTTGCAGGTTAGGATTGATGTCTATTGGCAGAGCTGTGTAGAGGAATCCCAGTTACCATGTGACTATTTTCTGCTTGGTTTTAGCCAGTGCTATGAATCCTTCAGTTTTATGAGCATCAAGAATTGTGAGATTTCAAGAAAAGTGCTCATGTACAAATTATAAGTGTATCTAATGAATTCTATTTGTTATAAAGGCATAAGCGCATAATGTTAGATATAGACATGTAAGCCACCGGAAGGGTTCTTTAATGTGAAAAATTAAATGCTAAACTTGTGTGATTCAGCTTGACCAAAACATTCAACTCTCTAAATATTTTAAGGTAGCTGCCACCATACCATCTATTTTCTTATTATATTTTACCCTCCTATAGCACATTCTGTATTTAAGAAACTTA